GTGTTTGCTGGACCAGACAGCCGAGAATTGGTGAGTTTTGCCGAATATCCTACCTGGTCCCCTCTGCGTGTGTGTGTGTCCGTGTTTCCCCCTGCATCAGGCTTGGAAGCCATTCCTTCTCTAAAGTCACCCAACGTGACTTTTTTTTTTTCCTCCCCCCCTCCACCAACCCCAGAATAAGCACGGCTGCCCCGGATTTCAGCTGAGTATTTTCATTTTGCTACTGCCTTGTCTTTAAACTTGGTGATTTATGGCCGTAACTTCGAGGGAGTGTTTTAAATGGAAGATATTTCCTGTGCTCCCTTTGAAGGGGAAACCCAGTCAGATCCCAACATTTGCTGCTGATTTCGTGACGAGTGTGAGGGGGTTACATTTTAAAGAAAAATAAGCTGCAACCAAAGCAAAGACGGCAATACACGGGGAGCCTAAAAAAAACCTACTTACAGGAGCTCAACATATAAACGTGCAACGAGCTTCTTAAGAGTTTGGGTATTTTTTTTTTTTAATCGGTTGCCAGTTAAGGTTAAAGCAAAATTTTGCACTTCAGAGGAGCAACTTTCAGAATCCGAGGTACTTCTGGCAGACTGGGTACTCCAAATGAGTCAGTGGAGATCCATAGAGAGAAAGCCATCGAGTACTTCACCTACAGAGAAGTCTTTTAAAGAGTGGTCCACGACTGTGTTTCCTCTTTCTCTCTGGAATTTCAGCGCCGGGGTTCCAAAATAGGAACTCTCTTGCAGCAGAAGATTTATGTTGGAGCAGTTCATAAGAAGTCAGATGGGAGGGGAAAAAAAAAAAAAGCAAAAAAAAAAAAAAAAAAGGCAATGGTGGTGTCCCCTGGTCGAAACCCTCACGCCTGGGATCCGAAAGCTGCAGCCAGAACAATAGCTGGAAACACCGTAGTCCTTGGGATAAGACTTTGTCCATCACCTAGAAAACCTTGGCTGTCCAGCCCAAAGAAAGTCCTCTCCAAAGTCAAATGTTCACTTGGACACCCTTCTTTTTCCTTCCAAAGTTATCGGCCTTAAGGTGCACACACACACACACACACAAAAAAAAGACGATGCGGAGCCTCGGACGGGTCGTACCTTCCCAGCGAAGTCCAAAGAGCCTTTGTGGTCCCTCTTTTTCTTGCTTTGCTAAACGTAAATTCCCCCCCCGTCAGCACTTAACCCAAAGGAGTGAGCGCCAGAATTAAAGGAGGGAGATAAACGCCATGAGAAACAAAAGTAGCACTTAAAAAAAAAAAAAAAAAAAAGAAAGAAAGAAAAAAGTGCAGACACCTAAATTCCTTGCCCTGCCTTCCTCCCACTCGCCGGCCCCTCCTCGTCACGGACTTTCCCCAAAACGCATCTTGGCGAGTTTCTGCTTTGGCAGCCGTGTGGGAGCGGGGAAAGGCATAAATCTCCCGTGGCGACAGCGGCAGCGCCTTGCATAGCAATAACGGCGTTATTAATAATAGCAATAATAATCATCTTTATTGTTCAACACCTCGCTGCCTTGGCCTCCCCCGGGGGTGATTTGCGCCCTGAAACACTCTCCCCTCCTCTCCCCCCCCTCCTCC